CGAACGTTGCGGACGACCCCGACGTCCGCAAATGAGTCGTGTCTTTTGACCGGTCGCGAAGGTATCGGCGCGTGGTGACGACCGCGTCGTCGTAAAGCTCATCTAATCAGAGCCTGAACACCACGGCTGATGCGCCATATGTAATTGGGAAGAAGCTGTGTTTCGCTATTTCAGTCATTGCAGCTTCTGCCTCTTATCCGAGCTCTCCTCTCTCGCCTCCTACACTGAGGAAGAAATATTCAACAGTTTCTTTGAAACTGTTCAGTGGGATGCGCGCAGTTTATTCACAGAAATGAACTTTATATCCAAATAAATATATTTAAGTATTCTTTCCTCCCTGTTACACATGGCGGGTCGAAGAGCCAATGAGAAGGCCATCACCACCGGTATGTCCAAGCTCCGGGACTGGAGGAACTCTCCAGCGCGTCGCGACTTTTGCTCTCGCATGGTAAATTTTCCTTCGTCTCGCGACGGAGCAAGTAGCGATCGAACGATACTTTTCGGTGAATCATGCGCGACGGGTTATTCCTTCCTTGCCGTTGATCACCTCGACTTCTCCGAGGCCGAATGATTACTCCGTGCGAAATGCGAATGCACGATAAGAGAAGAAGCGATCGCAGCCTCGTTGAGAATGCTGGAGAACGGCGGAGGCTGCCGCGTCATTGCGCTCTTACAGCGGCGAGCGCAGCGTTATAAATGCTCGTGGCGCGGCTGTTAAGCGATACACGCCTGCGGTATCGCGGGTGGCCGCCTTTCGCGCGACCATCCGCCGATCGTATATCGGTAAGTACAACTTCGTTCTCCCGCGTATGGAGATGTTATACCCCGGTGCGCGCGTACGGCCTCTTGCGCAAAAAGCGCACGCATACTAGCACGCGTGCCGACACGCACGCACGAATGCACGCACTCCCTCGCACAGCGCTTCGCCACGTTCTCGCGGATCTCTCCCGCGCGGTTCGTCGATCCTCTCCCGATACAGGATCGCGCGCGCGCGCGCAGCTTGGCTGCGTCTTGATGACGACGATATCTTTCGCCGAGCGTGAGAAGGGGCGGGAATAAATTTACGATTTACGCGGGACGCTCGATTTCAATTTGCATAAGTAGTAAATACGCCCGGGATTGAGTTACGCAACGAGTAGCGTTTCGGCCGCGAACGCCGCGGAAATATCGCTTATTCGCGGGAGCGACGGGGAATATCGCCATTGTGCAACTCGAAGCTGCGGGATTAATGACCGCGCGCCTCGGGATCGCTTCTTTTTATGATAATCGCGGATGAAACCGATATAACTGGCAACTACGCGGTCGTAATAATGTAGTCGTTTTATCGCTGGATCGTTTTGCGGAAAAACCATCGAAGCCGAACACACGTCGCGACGGGTAATCGCTTATTATCGTCGTGGTGAAAAGAGGAGAAGGAAAGAATCGTCTCTAGTGTCATGCGGGAATTTCTAAATTTTTTCCCTATCTTTTCCTGATTGTCTGACGTTTCAAAATAGCATAGCAAACTCAGCCTAATAGGGTTCTGGTCTCTGACGTAAGGCGATTTATTTTTCAATTTAAAAGCATACAATATAACTTAAGAATACAGACACGATCTTAACAATATAATTTAAGAATATAGACATGATCGCGATTGCCTACACGAAGAAAATTTTATAATAAAAATTGCTAAATCTCATAACCGAGAAATAAATTAATATTCTGCAACAACTGACCACCCTTTTACTTGAGATGTGTTATTAAGAAATTTGCTGTTTCCAGCGAAATTTATTATGTATGAAATTTACTACTATATTCCTTAATACAAACTAGATCCTACTGACTAGAAAAACAATGAAATCGATAGGAATTTTTGTAAAAGAAAAAATTACAATATTCTCTACCAATCAATACGATAGACGACAGATCGACATACCAATTTCTTGTGCGTAACATTCGGAAGTCGATTTCCCTTACGAGTAAAATTCATTGACGAGATGGCATGAGCGAGGCGCGCGGTGAAGAGAGAAAAGAAACTAGCGACACGATCGCGTTATCGACGCTTCGTCGACTCCTTAAATCAGCGAAGGTGAGGTAGGCGCGAGGGTGAGTAGGAATGAGTGAGAGAATACTCCTTTCCATTGCCTCGGCTCTTTCTTCCTCTCCTCCTTCTCCTCCTCTTCTTCTTCTCTTCTCCTTTTCTCATTTTTTTCTCCACTCCGTGACGAAGAGGGGACACGCGCATGCAGATCACGTCGGTTGTAGCCAAGTGATAGCGTATCTGTGGGCGGCGCGTGCGTGTGGTCCTTCTATGTCCCCTTAGACTCCCCTCCTTTCGGTTCCTTCTTCGCTTCCAGCATGCCCGAGGGAACTCTCTCCACTTCGTCCCGAATCACCGTGACGTTCTCCCCGCGCCCCTTTCTCTCTGCCGGCCACCCCCGCTGCCGGCTGCCCTCCGCTTATCGAGAGGAAGCGAAGTGTACGACGTGTCATCGGACGGGGAAAAAAAGGAAAGACCTCGGCGATCGGCCTCGTCGTTCATTATGACACGATTATTTTAATTGGAAACGCGTCGTCCGCGCGAGCGACGCTATCCTTGCTATCTGCAAGCTGGCTATAAATTCGCCCACGTGGCCACCCCGTATAATTGGATAAGCGTCGGATTCCGTAATCTTCCCCGGCGCGAACTTTCTTGGATAATGAAAGGGAGCACGGTGATGTATCATCAGCGCGCTGGCAAATTATTATGTAAACGCTCCTCGAGCAATTTCTGCTAATCACTTATCGAAACACCTAGTGATTGACACGAGACGGAGCAGTTAATTTTCTCGAGAGCGCGCGCCCGCGATTTCCATCAAATTTCTTAGAATTTATTAGAATATTTTAGGAAGGACTTTTCCGCGTGAACACGCACAAAATCCGCTCCTCCACATCCGCGGCATATATTTTCGATATTTAATCACGTCGCAGAACATTTATACCTCAGGGAACACCCGGAGGTCCTACGAAAATATTATTCGAAGCCCCTGTCGTTCTCGTTTAAGTTGGAGACTCATTGTTGGTACCGTTTACTCTACTCTATCTTTGTTGTCGTTCTTTAAGAGTGGAAAATCTCGGACACGTGCCCGCTTAAGATGACGTCCGTCAGCTCGGAGAGAACAATGGTCCTTGTCGAAAATCCTACGGACGCGCGCCACAGAAGTCCGTCCAAATATCCGTCGATTTTGGAGAGAATTCACACCTTAGCAAAAAAAGCGGAATGGCAGAAGCCAATCAGAACTCGCGCTGCTGACAGGTGTTGTGGTAGTTGACAGTTTCTGCTTTTCTATCAGCGCGAGTTCTGATTGGCTTTCTGTTTTTTGCTTTTCTGTCAAGATGTGAATTCCCCATTTGAGCTTCATCCGTAATGTTCTTTCTCTTTATCTGTCTGTTTTAATCAAATCTTAAATTGAAGAAAGCTAGAAAGAGATTTCACACCTTGGCAGAAAGGCGGAAGCCGATTAGTGCTTGGGCTAGTAGAAAAGCAGAAGCTATAAACTATCAACGCGAGTTGCGATTATCCTCTGCCGTTTCACTTTCTACTTTTCTGCGAATTCTCGCTTGGGACAAAATTAAAACGTGGCTATAAGTACACGACAAACGTGCGACGCTCGTCAGAAGTCAATTCCGGCGTCGCGTCCGGTTGTCCAAGATCTCTTTCTTTCTCTCTCTCTCTCTCTCTCTCTCTCTCTCTCTCTCTCTCTCTCTCTCTCTCT